ACGGATGTACCTAATACAAATAAAACATCTCCAGTTAACTAGCAGAGCATTCATTTAGTCCGCTCTTAAATAAGAGATCTACCGCTAAAATGTTTTGTTTTTGAACTCAAGCTAAGCGCTCGTGTCCGCTGCTATCAGTGTCATTGATACAGTGTTCTCTTGTGGCGGCACGCGCGCAGTCTTCACTTGGACGCGCTCTTCAATCTATCGCCGTTGCGGCGGACACTATTCATTCCGGTGAAATCACAAAATAAAATGCACACAAACGTGTGTCCCTGCTTGATATAGACTGTAACCACTGATGAACATATTCGGTTTTGATGAGAGAAAAAAAACTGGATTAGAACCCGTAACCTCTGACACGCTTGGCAAAAGATCTGCCACTAGACCACTGAAGTACCCAAGCAAAACTTGCGGATCGATATATTTCACTAAATCATTATAACCTAAGCAGTTATTCAAAAAGTTTACACGAGCGTATAGGTAATATTTCCTATGTCAAGAGCTAGCCAAAACTAGGCAAAATATAGTCTGAAAATTCATTTGAGCTCTATGATCAGAAAAGGAATTATATAACACTAAACAACTTACTCCGAGCTTGTATCATCGGCGGGGCCAATTCGTTCTTCAAAATGCAGCCGTTCGTTGTCCAAGTTTCAAATTCCTCTGAGGAAAAGGTGAATTTTTCCCTGCTGTCCATAATCCTCTGAAGGAGTAGCGTGCTGCCATCCTCAAAACGCGATGAACTATCAGTGATTCTGATGAAGAAAGTTACTTCGTGTTGTTATGGTATTGATCGGCGGGCGTGCCGCGAGTGCGATGCATAGATCGCCTATTTACCATGTGAAAAGCTCTGGGGGCGTGGCGGCCTCAGCTAATTAAAGATAATGAAGGGAGAACGAAAAAACTGTACCTCTCCTTGGTTTCAAACGGATTACATAAACTGGAAATATTTTACAAAAAAAATAAATTACTTCATTTAAAAGAGAATTTCAGCTTCATAAAGATACATCTCTCGTATCTCTGTGACAAGTATTGACAGAGTTACAGTTCATTTTTCGGACGCGTTTCAGAATGGACTTTACTGACAGTGGGTACTGACAGTACCCACAAAAAAAATAGATACTTAACAGGATCTAATGATGTACAACACTTATATGTAAGATCAAAATCAACAGAGTAATTTGATTCTCTTTTGCACTGATAAGGAAAAAATCGAGCTCGTCGCGCCGGCGCGACGGCCGACCCCAGAGGGTTAACAATGTCTTTAATAACTTTTCTGGGCCGGCAAGTTTCAATCCCTTAGAAGCCTATGGAGGAGTGATCCAGCTCTCAGATTTTAATCAAAATATCTTAATTTGTGTTCCGAAGATGAGCGAAAGTCTTACGGGGTTGGAACAACATGAGGGTGAGTAATTACTGACAGAATTTTAATTTTTGGGTGAACTGTCCCTTTAAGCTATAATTCACAAATTATATTACATATTTGTTTACACCTTTCATAGTCATGCTTATTCTGCTCATACCATCAGCAAATGTTGGTTATCACACTTACAAAACTTTATTTAAATTGGTGAAAGCCTTACCAAGTTACAGCCAAATTGCCTGTTTACTTCATGTCAAATTGACCCTTCGCTAAGCCCCGCCCTCCCTAGTTACTGTTGCTACGCCTGTCAAGCTTTTGTGCCTGGCACGTCTATTACAGTGTGTATGCACCGATGTCAGACATTCCCAATGAGATAATTAGTAATTTTTGGCGAACATGTGAAATATCTGAGAGAGCAAGACAAAAGGGACTGCAGTATGCATTCGAGGGATATATCCACGACATAATATGCAACCGATTATAGAATAATTTCATAAAAATTGAAGCTAAAGCCTATAGTCCCAGCGCAAGCAGCAGCCGCCTCATACGCTGACCATTCAAATGGGAAACACACAAATTGAGGAACAGCTATGTTCGTGCACAGCAGGGTGAGTGATGTGAAAATAATCTAATAATTATAAATCAAACAGGAAATAAATCTTGTGGAATAACACCGGGAGAGCCGCGGTCGGATTGGGTTAAAATTAATGTTACTCAGTCAGGGGTAGTAGGCTGTCGATTAACAAAATGCCGAAATATATTTTAAAGTATGTCAGTGAGCCTCCATCTTGTCTTTAATCGTCTTATTTTACGTTAAAATATATGCATTATGATGAACAAAGAACCGTCATTATTTCCAACTTCCAAGCAATAGGTGTTTTTGTTAATCCTGTGGACATGTAGTTGTGAATGGGGTCTCACACACTGCTTGATCCACACCCGGCATTTCTCCCCTCGGCTTTTAGATTTTCGGGAGGGAAAAAAATTCCACTCCCCCGTCCAAACTTTTAGGATACCGGGTATCAGATTTGCACAATCCATACGCACAGCGCTTCGGCATGTTTCCCTCGCTCGAAAGCTTGCCAGACCTCCCGCGCCTAGTTACGGTTGCTAAGACACGATTGGCCAGTGGCGGTTTTCGGGTGTGGCTTAGCGAAGGCTCAATTCATTAGCATTTTATAGACCATTTTGTATACAGAAAATCCATTCAGATTATTTTTGTCAGGCTGAAGGTTTGAAGATATCCTGACCCAAAGTGAATGAAGATTCAATTAGAGTGGAACAGTTTTGAATCGAATTACTTGTATTCTATATCGACCAAACAATATGACTGCAGTGAGTGATCCATAATTTCATTTCAAGGATTTCTAAAGTTTTTCGAAATATTATAAAAGTCATAATTTTTGACCAATAAATAATGGTGTCTCCGTCCTAGTCAAGTACTTACAGGCCTTACATTTCATTTCACTATGCTTAAAACTAAACAAAAGTGTTTTAAGAGAGTAGTTCAGAAGTGCTTTATTGTCAAGTAACACACATTTTCTCACATCAATACAATTTACTTTTTAATAGAAGGAATCACTGATACGCCTCATGCTCATGAATCTCATGCTACCCATATTGCTGAAGCTCCTGTACTCTCCAGGCCTGAAGTAGGACATCTTGCCTCTGTAGTTGGGCTGCTCATACATGAGCCAGTGGCCGTCCATCACATGACAGGACTGGCAGTGAGACATGCGATAACGGTCCATGACGTTGTCACAGTCATCCATCATCTCGTACATCTGACCCATGAAGTTCTCTCTCTCGTAGATCCTCATTCTGAAGGATCCTCTGTGCTGCAAACATATAAACAGACAGGTACACATTTTGATAAACTGTTATAAGAGCATTTTGTGAAGTATATATTGTTCTCTTACCATAGGGATCATACGGCAAGATCTGATGCAGTCGTTCATGCCAAACATAGACATGTAGTCAGCGTACTCGCCCCTCCTAAAGAAATACTGATTTCCCATGTAATTGGGACGATCGTACATCATGAAGCAGCCACTCTCCACTCTGCAAGAGTGACAGCGACTCAAGAAGGGGGACATGTCGGCACAGTCACTCATGCACTCATAAGAGCGACCCTGGAAATTTCTCTCCTCATAGAAGACGGCCTGAGAAGATTAAAGATAAGAGGTTACTAGGAATTTTGAGGTATGCATGCATTTCAGTAAATATTGCATTCTACTAGAGAGACAGAGAAAGCTGTATTTTGTTGTTATTTATATGAATACTTACCCTGCACGTGCTCATGCTGCTGGTGGTCATTTGTTTATTTAATTATTGGATGCTCTTCCCTTTACACTGCTCTGTCCTCCTGACAGGTCTCACCCTTACTTTTATACCCGAGCGAACTGAATAAAACTGTGTGCTTGCTATTGAGATTGACGACAACCTCCTGACTCAGCAGACCAGTATGGAAACGTTTAGAGTGCATTCATTGTGGACCATTTCGAATGAACCTACAGGTTATATACAATCCACAATAACATTTTTAATTTTGTCAAACACAGTGTTAATCAAAATTGATCTGTTTAAAATACCATACTTTTACAACATTTAAAGTAATGTTTAAACATATATTGAGATGCAGGACAATAGGTTTTGGCAAGGTAATTTCTTTGAACTCATTTCAAATGTATTTTTGTGAACATGCTAGGTTAAAAAAAATACTTTTTTTTTTATTTAAATTCTTATGATTGAAGATTGTTCTAATATACCTCAACATTTCAAAAACAATGTTACAACACAGACATTTGGTGGTTTGATCTATTGATCAAATGTGTGAATTTGGACTTTCAACACAGTATGAACACTGCTCAAGTTAGTCAAAAACACTGATTTTCCTCTTCCCAATATTTGTAATTTAAGTGAAAATAAAATGATTGTGGTAAGGCAAGTGGCTACACGTTATCATTTTAAACATATGTGCTTTATTATTTGCTTTTGTTTACATCTTCCAAAACCGTTTTACCTTTTACTGTCTCATTTTCTTTATTTTTTCATTTACTTCAGTTTATATATACATGTGTGTACATGCTGGGGAGGCCCATAGTGTTTGTATATTTATATATTTATAGATATTAGATTAAGGAAGTTTAAACAGAGGGTTACAATACCTACTATTTAGCATAGTAATGAACACACTTAACAGACTTGTGTATCAGGGAAAGAAAATGAGATTGTTTTTTTGTTTTGTTTTTCCTATACCTGAATATGCTGGGAATCTTGTCAAGTTGATCTGCCAGCTCGGTTGAAATGTAAAGAGGGTTATTTTACGATGAATTCTTAGTGTATTTATGGATTGGTAGAGGAAGAATTGCCTAGTCTGTGCTTACATCTCATGTGACTGTAGGTTCACTTCATTGTTCGTTCAACACAAAAGAAACATCAAGATGCAAACCCATCTACTGGCTACTTGAGACTGATAAACATAGAAATGGGAGATTCAGTTACATTTGACATATTACAAAAGTACTTTAGCTTTTCATGGGCCTCTATACCATGCTGCTTTGTCAGGAGTTTCCACAATAGGAGGCACATATTCTTTAGGTTTGGGAAGGTATAAATGTAAGGGTTAACATGCGCAAAGGGTTAGTGTACCAGTACGAAAGTGCTCTAAAAGACTACCACTACCATCATGGGCAGGGTAAGTACTACTGATACTTAAATATAAAAACAATAGTACATCTTTAGGATGTTACTTTTACTCATTTAAAAGTACACAAGTTTGTACAAAGTACACAAGTCTCATTGTTTCTGTTGTGTTCCAAAACAGATAATCTTCTACGAGGACAGGAACTTCCAGGGTCGCTCTTATGAGTGTATGGGTGACTGTGGTGACTTCTCCTCCTACCTGAGCCGCTGTTACTCTTGCAGAATAGAGAGTGGCTGCTTCATGATGTATGACCGTCCCAACTACATGGGAAATCAGTATTTCTTCAGGAGGGGTGACTATGCTGACTACATGTCTATGTTTGGCATGAATGAGTGTATCAGATCTTGCCGTATGATCCCTATGGTAAGAGCATAATTCATACAAATTTACCTAGAGCTGTTGTTCACTAAATGCTCTTATAACAATTTAGCACAACTTGTACATTTCTGTTCATACCTTTGCAGCACAGGGGATCCTACAGAATGAGGATCTACGAGAGGGAGAACTTCATGGGTCAGATGTACGAGATGATGGACGACTGTGACAGCATCATGGATCGCTACCGCATGTCTCACTGCCAGTCCTGTCATGTAATGGACGGCCACTGGCTCATGTATGAGCAGCCCCACTACAGAGGCAAGATGTCCTACTTCAGGCCTGGAGAGTACAGGAGCTTCAGCAATATGGGTGGCATGAGATTCATGAGCATGAGGCGTATCAATGATTCTTATTTTTAAAATGTATTTTTGTGGTACTACAATAAAGAATAGTTGCCAGTCCATATATTTAAGATGCACTCAGTATTTTTTTTTCCATTAAAAAAGTAAAGTGAAAGAAAATGACAGTGCTTTTGAACAAGACCAAAAGGCTATTTTATTTATGGCGCTCATGGACCCTGCCGTGTGTAGATCACATGACCATTTACGTCTTGCAATTTGATTGATTTGTAAATAGAAATAACAAAATAACGTTGAATGTGCGTAGCATGTTTCATTGGTTCAATGTGCTTTATAAAACATAAAAAGAATATAAAAACTGTCCAAACTAAATGAGCACAAGAAGAAAAATTCAATGTCCAAAGAAGGAGATAGACTCTAGTGTGAAGTAGAAGCAGTTAGTAAGCAAACTTCATGCATCAGTAGGTATCAGTAGAAAGTCAAGGGAAAAACGGGGGTGAAAAAGAGTATTTGTTCGCTGAGATTTGTGAAGTTGCACTAAAGTAGCATCATAAGGCTACTGCAGTTTAGCCATGAGAGAAATAGGATTTAATTTTAAAAATATATTTAGTTGATGTCGCCCCTCTTTGAACTGTCACCTTATCGTGGTGGAGGGGTTTGAGTACCCGAATGATCCTAGGAGATGTTGTCCGGGGCTATATGCACCTGGTAGGGTCTTCCAAGGCAAACAGGTCCTTGGTGACGGTCAGACTAAGAGCGGTTCAGAACCCCTTATGAAGAAAGAAAAACCAAGGGCCAAGACATCGCCCGGCATGGCGCGCCCTCCCGTGGGCTTACCATCTGCAGGAGGGATTGTAAGGGGCCGGTGCATAGTAGATCGGGCGGCAGTGGAAGGCGAGGGCCCCGACGACCCGATGTCTGGACAAGGAAACTGGCTTTAGGGACGTGGAACATCACCTCGCTGGCGGGGTAGGAGCCTGAGCATGTGCGGGATGTAGAGAGGTACCGACTAGAGATAGCCGGGCTCACCTCCACGCACAGGTTTGGCTCTGGAACCACACTCCTTGAGAGAGGCTGGACTCTCTGGCTGCGTTCGAAACTGCATACTTCCCTACTATATAGTATGGGAAAAAGAGTAGGCGAGAGAAAAGTAAGTACGAATCATAAAAGAGTAGGCGAGAATTACCTGGTTGACGAACTAATTCTCGCGAGATTCGGACGTACGTATACTAATAGTGCGTTCGAATATGCCTACTTTCCTACTATATAGTAGGAGAAAACAGTACGTGAAAGAAGCAGTACTTTTGAAACGTCAGTATGCTCGTCCGATGGATTACATTACATTAATTCATTGCTTGACTGACAATTAAGATGTTTCACTGCATTTATCAAGTGTGTGTATTCATGCATAACTATGTCATATGACAAAACAAATTACATTTTGCTTGTTTTATTAAATTTATTAAATATTATTATATTATTATTATATTGTATTAAATTTAATTTTTTGTATATAAAAAAGTAATATAATTAAGTATTGGTCAGCATTTATTATTATTATTTTGTTTAAGTTTTGGGGTGGGCTAACAATGCAATTCATTCTGAGGTAATATTAATTTTTAAGGAGTGATACTTACATTTTTCGAGTATAAAATCAACAGTTTTCTCCAAAGGAGAGATCTTCGAGCAGCTGCCCATCTCCTTTGTCCAGACATTACAAACGCAGAGGAAAACGTCTCGGGTTACGTATGTAACCCTTGTTCCCTGAGAAAGGGAACGAGACACTGCGTCGGTGACGACACTAGGGGAACGCCCTTCAGCTATTGGCGTTGCGTGATGACGTAGCGTGTGACGGCATACACGGATGTGTACAAAGGCACGCCGGCACAAGCAAAGTCAGCTCTTTGCTATGAAGCAAGTGCTCCAAGCAGGGTGAGGTGTGGCGAACCGACGCAGTGTCTCGTTCCCTTTCTCAGGGAACAAGGGTTACATACGTAACCCGAGACGTTCCCTTTCGAGGGACTCGAACTGCGTCGGTGACGACACTAGGGGAACGAGATACCCACTATACCACAACGAACCCTGCTCATCCTAGTGTGAAACTGACTTCAGGCACAACCTAGGACGAAAGCACTCGTGCACCGGGTGTAGAGGGAAGGTCCAGACTGTAAAACCTCATGATTGTGTGCGGAGTGGCCCAGCCAGCCGCCTCACAAATATCATGTATGGAAACCCCTGAAAGGAGGGCTCTAGAGGACGCCATGCCTCTGGTGGAGTGAGCCCTCACGGCCATAGGTGAAGGCAAATTGCGCACCTGATAGGCCAGGGAAATAGTCTGAACGATCCAGTTGCTGATGGTCTGCTTAGAGGCGGGAAGCCCCTTCTTGGGAGACCCAAAACACACCAGCAACTGGTCCGACTTCCGCCATGAGGAGGACTTCTGGATGTAATACTGAAGTGCTCTGACAGGGCAGAGCAGATGAAGTCTCTCCTCATCCGCCGTCACATGAGGCGGAGGATGAAATGCCTGCAGAACCAAAGGCCATGCCACATTAGATGGCACCTTGGGCAAATAGCCAGGCCTGGGGTGAAGGATGGCCTTAATGTTGCCGGGAGCAAACTCCAAGCACTCATTGGAAATAGAGAGCGCCTGGAGATCTTCTACCCTCCTCAGAGAAGTAATAGCCAACAAGAAGACCACCTTAAATGAAAGGTTCTTGGCCTCAGCCGACTCCAATGGTTCGAAGGGGGCCTCGGCCAGCCCTTCGAGCACCACTGCCAGGTCCCAAGAGGGAACCCTGGTGCGAGTCGCAGGTCTCATCCTCCAGGTTCCATGGAGGAAGCGTACGACCAGGTGATGCCTCCCCAGAGGACCATCACCCAGAGGAGCGTGGAAAGCCGCAATGGCAGCCACATAAACCTTGAGTGTGGATGGGGTAAGCCCGGCAGAAAAGCGGTCTTGGAGAAACTCCAGTACTGAAGCCACTGGGCAGTTAACTGGGTCCAAATCATGCTCTCTGCACCAAATGGAAAATACATTCCACTTAAGGCCGTATAACTTCCTCGTGGAGGGAGCTCTGGAAGTTAGTATAGTCTCAACTACTTCTGCTGACAGGCCGGCTTCTAGGTACTGTGCCCCCTCAGGGGCCAGACCCACAGTTTCCACAGCTCGGGCCGAGGGTGGAGAACTGAGCCCCCCGCCTGAGACAATAGGTCCCTCCTCAGAGGGATCTGCCATGGCGGGCCTGCCAGAAGCAGGATAATGTCCGAAAACCATACTCGGGCCGGCCAAAACGGGGCCACCAATAGTAGGCTGACCCCGTCCCGACGGACCCTTTCCAGAACTGCTGGGAGCAGAGCGATTGGGGGAAAGGCGTACAGACGCAGCCTCGGCCACGTCTGTACGATGGCATCCAACCCCAGCGGGGCTGGATGTGTGAGGGAGAACCACAGTGGACAGTGTGTCGTCTCTCGAGACGCAAATAGGTCCACTTCCACTGGGCCAAACCTCTCGCAGATCAACTCCACCGTCTCGGGGTGGAGTCTCCATTCCCCGGGCCTCAGCCCCTGCCTCGACAGTACGTCTGCTCCCTGGTTCTGGTCCCCCGGGACATACATCGCCCTGAGAGACGACAGTCTCCGCTGGGACCACAGGAGGATCTGATGCGCCAGTCTGCACAGAGGGCGCGACCTCAGACCCCCCTGACGATTTAGGTAAGAAACCACCGACATGTTGTCGGATCTTACTAGGACATGGCGACCATGGAGGTCCGGCAGAAAACTCTTCAGAGCCCGGAACACCGCCAACATTTCTAGGCAATTTATGTGCCAAGAGAAATGATGGACCTGCCAGAGACCTCTCGTAAAGCGTCCGTCCATGACCGCGCCCCAGCCCGTGAGGGAGGCGTCTGTTGAAATGGATATCCGGCAACATGACGCTCCCAGCCTGGCACCCTGGGACAAGAACCAAGGCTTCTTCCAAATTGATAGGGAACGAAGGCATCTGCGCGAAACCCTTATCAAGCGGAATGGACTTCCCCTCGGGGAAAACCCCTTGGCTCTTAACCACCACTGTAGAGCTCTCATGTGTAGCAGGCCAGAAGGTATTACGCTGGACGCCGCTGCCATGAGACCCAACACTCTCTGAAAGTGTTTGACAGTGATGGCTTGGCCTAGCTTTATCCTGGACACTGAAGTCAGGACGGACTCGATCCGAGCAGGAGACAATCGTGCCCGCATCGTGACTGAGTCCCACACCACTCCCAGGAACAGGGTTCTCTGGGCTGGTGCCAACACACTTTTCTTTGTGTTGAGTCTCAGCCCCAGGCTTTGGATGTGGGCGAGGACGACATCTCGATGCCGAATCGCCAGCTCTCGCGACTGCGCCAGTATCAGCCAGTCGTCGATGTAATTGAGCACCCTGATGCCCTCGAGCCTCAGGGGTGCTAGAGCTGCATCCATACACTTGGTAAAAGTGCGAGGGGAGAGTGCTAGGCCGAATGGAAGAACCCGATATTGGTAAGCTTTGCCCCCGAAAGCAAACCTCAGGAACTTCCTGTGAGATGGAAGAATGGAGATGTGAAAATAAGCGTCTTTTAGATCTATCGTGACAAACCAATCCTCGGATTGGATTTGACTCACGATGATGGGAATGGTGAGCATCTTGAACCTGAATCTCCTCAGAGACCGGTTCAAGTGCCTTAGATCTAAAATTGGACGCAACCCTCCATCCTTCTTGGGAACTATGAAGTACCGGCTGTAGAACCCGGACTCCCTGACTGGTGGGGGAACATGCTCTATGGCCCCTTTTTCCAGCAGCGAGTGAACTTCCTGTTCCAACACTAGACCCTGCTCTGGGTGCACTGAAGTCCAGACCACCCCGTTGAATTTTGGTGGGCGGACCTGGAACTGCAGTCTGTACCCAGTTCTTACAGTGCGCAGGACCCATGGAGTAATGTTCGCGAGGTTTCGCCATGCCTCTGCGAAATTCACCAAAGGAACCAGCCCCTCGGGGCTGGTGTCCAGTGTTTTGTGCAGGATGTTGACGGTGCCCTGAAGCAGAGGACCGGCAGGGGAAAACCGACAACGCCCTACATTGTGCGAACCC